CTTGCGTTGTATGATGGCTACCCGCCGCACAATTATGAGCTTCTCTAATTCATGTCTGGGAGACCGCATGATGTGTCCGAAGAAGCTCATAACACGTTCCCGGCAGATGAAAGAGAGCCTTTTTCGGATGTTTTGCTCCCTTACAATGGACTCGTTAGTTCTTATGGCAGTCCACGGTATTCGTAGCAACTACTTGCTTAATAATCATTTTTAGTCACATACAAATGCAAATCTCCTTCACAAATTCCCTGAACTTTACGAAAGGAACTCATCGTAACTATGCGATTGTATGAAACGTCGTGCGAACTATGTCGTTAAACTAGAGGAATGTGTCGACGCCCCACTTACAGTTAAATTTCAAAGCAATTCCTTTATATTGAAATGTGCAAATGTCGCTGTCGCCTCTCGCCGTGAAGCCAATTGAAATGTCACTAACATCGCAAATTGTAGCGCTTATTCGTGACTCAAACTCTATTGTTGATACATTTTTTTTGTACCTACCCACTACCGTTTATTTCGAGGGGCTATGCTAGCTTCAGCGAACGTGTGGACGAGCATACGGGGCTCAGTCTGAGAGACTTTACAAACATCTGCCTTAGCAAGAGCAGTGCTTTGCTGGATCTAGCACCGGATCGAAATTTCGACTCACTGAGAAGATTCTACGAGAACACCGGGAATGGATCGGGGGTTCTGAAATGACGTGCTTGGGGTGATGGCGACTGTTGGTTGTTCGGTTGTCTCGATCCACTTGGTGTTGAGTGGTTACCGGAGCCCATAGACATCTACAACATAAATGCAGCCACCTACCTTGAGATATAAGTTCTAAGGTCCCAGTATAGTTACAACGGCTGCCCCGTCTTTCAAACCGAAACGCATTACTGCTTCGCGGCAGGAATAGGCAAGGTGGTACCTACCCGTGCGGACTCACAAGAGGTCCTACCGCCAGTAATGAATAATAGGGTTATTGTACTGTAATGTTTTTTGGAAGGAGCCTTCTGACGCTGTCTTCAGATGTTTACTAATCAATTCTATTTGTAGGTCGTTGTAACATTCTACATTTTTTTATTTTTTTATTTATTGCTTAGATGGGTGGACGAGCTCGCAGCCCACCTGGTGTTAAGTGGTTACTGGAGCCCATAGACATCCACAACGTAAATGCGCCACCCACCTTGAGATACAAGTTCTAAGGTCTCAAGTATAGTTACAACGGCTGCCCCACCCTTCAAACCGAAACGCATTACTGCTTCACGGCAGAAATAGGCAGGGTGGTGGTACCCACCCGCGCGGACTCNCAAAAGAATCATATAACGAATTCGGGGGCCTGTACACACTTACAACAATGAATCGCTCAAGCTCTACACATGCCATTTCAATAATCCGTTCCACAGAGAGGCTCACAATGTCTCTACGTTCCTTACATTTATAATCTTTATTAACAATGATAAGAGAGCCTCCTCGTATAGCATTCTCTCTGCAGAAGGAACTCATAACCTGGTGATTTAACCAACCAATACTTATGACCTGACTAGGTATAGAAGATAGATTTAGGTTTAGATTTTATTTTTATTGTTGTTTTTGCTTTTAAATTGAAAGACCCAATATAGCGTAATAGTGAGACTAACGAACACCAATTAATGTGCGTTTTGAGCGGTTTTGCGGTTATAACGGTTAACCGCTCTAGGGAAAATAACCGTAGTGCGTCCTAGGCCTTATCCTTAACTCTTTATTTAATAACTCTCTTTATTGGACATCGCTTTCAAATCTTGTTTCTTGCGTTGTTGTCATCAGTGAAATTATAATAAGCATCCGACATATATATTATGTTTGTTCTCTTAGCGGCCCAGGGTATACGGATTGCTTTTTATATTACAGGGCATCTGGTGTTTTATTAATACTACTTGCTTCTATCTCTACTATATCGTTCCCTCACTGCTGAGGATCGCGACCACATGTGACGTTCCTCCACTGCGTTCGATCATGGGTGGCATAAGCCGCATGGTACAGACTACCACCAAGTGCTTCTCTTACTAGATCTGACCATCTGTCCGGTGTTCTGCCCACGGCGCGCTTGCCCTCTATGCGAACCGCAATTATGAGTTTCTCTAATTCATGTCTGGGAGACCGCATGATGTGTCCGAAGAAGCTCATAACACGTTCCCGGCAGATGGCAGAGAACCTTTTTCCCTTTTTAGCTCCCTTATAATGAACTCGTTAGTTCTCATGGCAGTCGACGGTATTCGTAGCAACTATTTGCTTAATAATCCTTTTTAGTCACATACAAATGCAAATTTACTTAATAAATTCCCTGAACTTTACGAAAGGAACTCATCGTAACTATGCGATTGTATGGAAACGTCGGGCGAACTTTGTCGCTATTCTAGAGGAATGTTTCGATGCCTCACTTACAGTTAAATTTCAAAGCAATTCCTTTATATTGGAATGTGCAAATGCCGCTGTCGCCTCTCGCCGTGAAGCCAATTGAAATGTCACTAACATCGCAAGCTGTAGCGCTCATTTCTGACTCAAAATCGATTACCGATACTTTTCTTTTGTACCTACCCACTGCCGGTTACTTCGATGGGTTATGGTGGCTTCAGCGAGCGTGTGGACGAGCTTACGGGGCTCAGTCTGAGAGACTTTGCAAACATCTGCCCCAGCAAGAGCAGTGCTTCGCTGGATCTACCACCGGATCGAAATTGCGACACACTGAGATCCTGCGAGAACACCGGGAGTGGATCGGGGGTCTGAAATGACGTGCTTAGGGTGACCGCGACTGTTGGCTGTTCGGTTGTCTCGATCCACTTGGTATTAAGCGGTTACCGGAGCAATAGCAATACCAGCATAGATATCTAGAACGTATATGCCGCCACCTACCTTGAGATATAAGTTCTAAGGTCCCAGTATAGTTACAACGGCTGCCCCGTCTTTCAAACCGAAACGCATTACTGCTTCGCGGCAGGAATAGGCAGGGTGGTACCTACCCGTGCGGACTCACAAGAGGTCCTACCGCCAGTAATGAATAATAGGGTTATTGTACTGTAATGTTTTTTGGAAGGAGCCTTCTGACGCTGTCTTCAGGTGTTTACTAATCAATTCTATTTGTAGGTCGTTGTAACATTCTACATTCTTCATATACCACGGTTTTCCGACGACTATCCAGAAAAAACGTGATTGTATGATCTGAAGGGTCTTTGTGTGTGTGTGTGTGGGCCGCGTGAGTGAAGATATCCTTGAAAAGTCATGACTGGATGTGTGCAAGTGTTCGAGAGTGATAGTGAACGCCGATAGACTTAAAGCTAATATTCGCGTTCGTATTAATTATTGATCGTTGCTTCCCAAAAACCGACATAAAAGTACGAATCGTAAAAGCTTTAAAACGATGCTTTTAAATGAAAAAAGCTTTTGATATTCCACGCGGACGTAGCAGGCGCGGCTTTATTTGTTCTCAAAAAGCCTTTGTTTTGAACAAGTTTTAAACTACACTAGATGATTGATACTGATAAAGAATATTATGATTGTCAGTATCCATAGTTAAGTGATAAAGTGTCTTTTGTAAATTTGCACACATTATTATGATATTAGATTATACATTATGTTTACATTACACATTTTATGTACATAGTATTTTGAATGTAAATTACGAGCAAGAGACAGTTATTACTCTACTCGTAGTTATTGGTGCGAACTACGAATACGTCTTTTCATGTCGTTAACTCACTAGGTCGTGCGTAAATAGTTTATAGACGAAGTGGATAAATCATTCGATTTATTGTAATTTGAATACAGATTTCTAGAATTTGTGCGTTGTATTCAAATCACTAGAAACCAGTATCTTTAAAGTTACAATATTATGTCTTTGATCGCAAATGAAAGGTTATTTTTGGAGTAGCAATCAGAATTCTGTAGAATGGACAGTTCGTATATGAAGATGTCCAAAACTTCTTCGCTGCTATCGATCAACCATTCGGTGTTGAATGTACCCCCATAGGTTCACCCACCCCATAGGTGAATGGACCCATAGACATCGTAGCATCAATACCGTCAGCCACTTTGTGATGTATGGTCTTAGGTACTTGTGGTAGATAATTTTATGTTCGACCGAGGAAGTCTCACCTTCCGGGCAATATAGCTGCTCACGGGATACGTCCCTCGGAGGGAGCCGACGCCAGAGTGCCACCACAGCAGTTCTCGGGTCGAGGATACGGCGGAGCGTGCGCTCGCATATTGCCCCACTTTTGCGAAACAGTACCACGTCCTTGTCGCGGAGGTAGGACCCGACCTATCGCTGCCGACCGTCGTGGCTACGATGCTCAGCAGCGACGAGCCATGGCGGACGATTCTCGACTTCCGCGAGTCCATCATCTCTCCGAAGGAGATGGGGAAACGGAACAGAGAGAGCTCTTGTTTTCTCTTGGCTCCTTGCCGTCACTGCCGAGCCGGAGGTCGGAGGAGGACGTTCATCTAGCTTCGACCCCTGTGAGAAGGTAGTCTCCTCCCAGTGATGGTCACGGAGCGATCTGAGGAGATCTAGGCTGCACCGCACGCTACCGTCACTTAGCGCGCTGACACCAAGATGATGAAATGCCTCGGCGGCGGCTGCGGTCGTTGTACTGTGGAAGAGCAACCCGGTGGACTGCCGTACTGCGGAGACCGGCGTCGTTGGTCGTCGATGATCGCCTCGACGAACCGTCAGCCGGGCGTCCTCTTATGGCGCCACGAGTTTGGTAAGTTTTGACCGCGGGAACCCCCTCTACCCGAGTTTTCACCTGGGGCGAAATTCGGACGTCGGGTAAACCGTTTGGTGGATTTGGTGGGCCCTAAAACATCCATGGGCTCGCGGTCCGTGCCCAACATCAGCAGACCATCAAGACCCACATACCCGAATATTTTACTGCTATATCGAATTTGCAGTTTACGTAGTCACGGATGGCTGAACGCAATACTAGTTTTGATATTTTAACGAATCGAATCGAAAAGTACTACAATGTTTTTTGTTACAGTATACGTGTTCCTGGGCGAACACATAGCGCTTGTCGACTTCGTAAACGTGCTGGAGAAACGGGGATTGCTCGCTACAGGAAACTATGCAGTTGTCGCTGTCGACGATGAGATCTATGACCCTAACACCACAGCCGTGACTTATGCTGGTATATATAAATATTCAGTTCATGGACGTCCACTGCTTAACATAGGCCTCCTTGAAGCCAATAATAGATCTCGAATACTGTCTTACCATAACACGAGGTTGAAGTCTTTATTGTATCGTTACGCCGGTCAGAGCAACGCCATCTATCGTCGAATAGCAGAAATGAATAACGAAAAGACTAGTAAAATCGAGAATGCTCGAGAAGTAGAACGCCATCTGTTATCAAATAGCGGAAACACATGGCGAAACTAAGGTACGCCACAATATGCATGTATTTTAAATTTGCTATTTTATCAACAAGAGCCCTCAGCGGCAAGCTTCAGTTTGGTACTGCCCTTAACAGTTATACATGCTTGTAAATGTTCCTTTTTCGGAATACTCTCAGATGGTTTTCATAGATTACATATGATACATATTAACAGTGTGTACAAATAAAGAATAAAGAATATACATAATATGATACTCCGAAGATATTTAAGTAGTTACCCGGCTGATTAATTGTCCACGAAATGAGTTCTCTTCATCTTTCGCAAACCAACGCAACCTTTTTTTTTTTTTTATTTTTTTTTTTTCATCTCCCGAGATAAAATCATTTGCTTTCGGACAGTATTTTTTTTCGAATTCTTTCCCTTACTGCTTTGACCACCTTTTTCGTACGAACACTACGTGGACGACCAGATCTTTTTCTGTCACAAACAGGTACACAAACATTTTACTAATACTAAGCGTATGGAGAGTTTTAAAAATTGCATTTGGCTCCATACCTACTTTGTGTAATGCAATCACAGCGATTCGGTTCTCTTTATCACCCCACTCCATTTTAATATCGCAAAATATTGTACAATGTATTGGCACCAAAATGAGAAAACTCACTGAGAAATCATATAAAAATGACAGATTCCAAATTCAAATGTAATATTTTGTTTTATAAATTGTAACAGTATTTATGGCCAGACTAAGTATAATTGAGAGCACGAAAATTGTTTTGACAGTAAGGTAAATCTCGAAGACTGGCTATCGAGTACTACCGTCTAATGTAATGATCCGGTTTTTTATTAGGGACTCGATACATTTACATTACGAATTCGATAGATTTTCGTGCTTGACGTACAGGCTTTAAATCGTTGCCGGATTAAAAAGATTACAGTACGTCGATGTTGTCGTCCACCCAAATTACGAGGCCTTAGTCTCAATAGTTACAGAGGCTGTTAATCTTACACCAATAAGTCTACTGTAAAAGACCGCTTTAAAAGACTACTGTAAAAGACGTCCAAAAATGGAGATGGGCTCGACATATACTACGCCACCCCATTAACAAATTGAGCAAGCAAGTCACGCTCTGGCAACCAAGAGACGGCAAACGAAGTAGGGGTCGTCAAGTCAGGAGATGGGAAGATGACGAAATAGATAGCGGGACCATTCTGGCTGAGAGTAGCAAGAGACAGGACTCATTGGAAGGAATGGGAGGAGGCCTATGCCAAAAGGCACACCGAACTTAGGGACCTCTTGTAACCCTATGTTTAGGAATAAAAAGGCTATTATTATTATTATTATTATTATTATTATTATAAAGGGCCGCTTGGATTTTTTTTGAAGTTATGCTTCTTTAGGCGCGTTATGAAAAATTGATGAGAGTGAAATTTTATGATGCGCGCGCACCGTGACGCAAAATTAACAGAATGAAGTTGCCCACTAAATCGCTCATTACAATACGACCAACGTAACTTGGCGAGTCTGAATATAGCCGCAGGTGAACTTTCCGAACCGTACCGAGAATTACCGAATTTATACGATGTCAAGAAAACGTATGTCCAATATGCGTGTTTGAGGATGTTGTTTAATCGATTTTTTTCAAATTGATTAAAATTTAAATAAAAAAAAAGAAATAAATTTAATAAAAATAAAGTATAACTTCTTACGCGCCTACATAATTACACGCACCCTTTTTTTTTAATATTGACAGATCATCTCGGAAAAAACCGCACCAACGACATAACTGCGTTCAGGTCTGTCCTGAGACTCACGCCTTCGTTCCCAACGAATCCTCATTACGAGTAAGTATATTGTAAATTACATTGACTGAGTACGGGGATATTGTACAATGTTCTGTCTCGTCTAGACCGAGCAAGCATTATAATTAATTTGTCTACAAATATCGAAAAGTGTGTAGGCGTTTCTATGAGCCTCCTAAAGACAAAGACCAACCGTGAATAGGAATGAGGTTGATTAACACGAATCAGTGAGTTTCTTATTTCTTGAGCGTACGTCGCCAAGCCAACGTCTTCAGACCGTATGCGAAATTCTCATTTGTATTAAATAACAGGTCTCCGACCGTTTTTTAGGCTAGAATTAATTCTTTATTCAGACGCAAAGTAGCTTTGAATAACAATAAGCTTATTTTCGTTAGCTCGAAAATGAGAATTGAGAAATTGTCTTTATATATATAAAGACAATGTCGAAATTAATTAGGTGCTTAAAATATTGAATCTGAACGTAAAATATGGAAATACTCGAATTAATTAATTACGATTTAACGGGACATTGCTCATCCGAAAGAAAACAATATTCAGTTTGGAACAAAACGCTAACGATCAGGATGAAACGTGTTTTCTTCTATTCCTTGTAATGGTGGATGATCTTACGGTCTGTCTGGTAATTAAGTGTTTACCGGAGCATATAGACATCACAATGTTATTACCGAAGTCTTGAGACGTGAAGTCCAAGTATCAATTGTATTATAACAGCTGCCCCACCTGTTGCTGCTGTTTTTCACTGGTGGTAGAACCGCTTGTGAGTCCGCGCGGGTAGGTACCACCGCCCTGCCTATTTCTGCTGTGAAGCAGTAATGCGTTTCGGTTCGAAGGGTGGGGTAGCCGTTGTAACTNACATCACAATGTTATTACCGAAGTCTTGAGACGTGAAGTCCAAGTATCAATTGTATTATAACAGCTGCCCCACCTGTTGCTGCTGTTTTTCACTGGTGGTAGAACCGCTTGTGAGTCCGCGCGGGTAGGTACCACCGCCCTGCCTATTTCTGCTGTGAAGCAGTAATGCGTTTCGGTTCGAAGGGTGGGGTAGCCGTTGTAACTGTACTGAGACCTTAGAACTTATATCTCAAGGTGGGTGGCGCATTTACGTTGTAGATGTCTATGGACTCCAGTAACCGCTTAACACCAGATGGGCTGTGAGCTCGTCCACCCACCTAAGCAATAAAAAAAGAGCTCACCTACCCATCCAGCTTAGCTGAAATAGCCTCTTAGGCTACCGGTGAATAGGTAGGAAAAAAGCAGGGTGAGCTATGAGTTCGTTAATTTTCATTTTTAATTCACTATTCCTAGGATCCTTTGTCAAATGATCAAGGAGCTCTCGGCCGCGCCACCATTCTGCGTTCCGAACTATCACAAGATCTTCGAAGATGCCTCGGTAAGCTAAAAATTAACATTTTTATGTCTATTAAATGGTTAACTGAGATGTAACTGTCGCTTCAGGGTGGGAACGATGATAGCACCCGCCCATTTGTAACAAAGTTTACAGAGTTTTCGTGACCTTAAGGATAAAATTCCCGGTGTGCTCACTCGGGTAGAACGACTTTGCCGCCATTCGAATCCCGCAGGGAGCTACGTGTTTTTATAGGAAAGTACTTCCGTAATACATCACGAATCGATTCCGACAATTTGAAAAGGAAAAATTATTATGTAATATCTAATAATCGGATCCGCAATGCCACGTAATTATGTGATAGGGCGTATTATGGCAGCGAAGTGCTTAAGGTACTAATCCATAGGGATAATTTTTAATAAGAAATTTAGTAATTACAGCATATGATAGAGACATATTTTGTTAAGAGTGAAGGTAAAACCATTTTAGTTCTTACTAAGAGACTATTGCTTAAGCATAACGTTTGCCTCACAGATAATGTCTCTATTTAATGCCGCGTGCCTACAAAATGGCTCCTGAGCTAAACTGTCGCCATTGTCCCTCGTTATTGGAAGGAACGCCTGTGGTTCTGCACCGGTAATTGCAGAACAAAGTGTGTAGGATTTTTGTAGCGTTGAAGGCAAACATCAAGGATACGCAGTCTACGATGTCATAGACACTGCCGAGAACAGAGGAATATGGCGAGACATCATCCAGAGAAGGATGATGGGAGGAGATGATGACGACCCTCGGACATGAGGAACGCGACTCAGAGAGGAGGAGGCAAACATCAGGCACCGCTTTCTACAGCTAGACAAACAAATTAACAAATTAACTAAACAAATTACATTTACTACTGGCGAACCCGGTATTCTTTGTTGGCCAATCTTTTATTTGCCTTTGGCCCAATCGCTACCAAGCTTTACAAGATCACACGCTAGGTCAATATAAAGATTTCCTGTCAATTTAATCGAAAGCCGTCCAGCCCTTTTTGAGTCTATAGGGAGCATACACACATCGACTTTTATATATATGTGATATACAAACGTGTGATATTAAAAAAACATGAACATTCTTATTGTGTAGTTATTTGTTCTTTATTTGATTCGTTTATCTTGCCAATGCTTGAAGTGATGTGGGATATTATTTTCAGTGACTTTTTGAAATCAACTCAGTGTAAAGTTTATTGTATACTAGCTAACTTGACAGACGTTATCCTTTTTTTGTCTTGTCTATAAATATTGAACTGAAATTGGTATAATTAACAAAAAAATTATGTTATGAGGTTCGGGATAAATAAAACTCTACCAAAGTACAACTTAAAACTGTATTCAACACTTCGAACACTTAAACACTCAACAAAAATACTCTCAATTCGCTTGTTCCGCTTCGCTTCAGGTGATTCGTTCGCTGTTTCACTTTGAGTAGTTCCGATTACTGACTGACTGCGTGCCATCTCTACAACGCTTTTATAGTCGATACCTCATCCCTTTTTTTTTTGGTCAGTAGGAAATCGCCGGACTTCCGCCCTCCATTGGGGATGGAGGGCGGGGCATGTCGGAGTCGAACTGACTAAAACCTCCTGTCGCTCAACAACCAACGTCCAAACCTCGCATGAGACAGAACTCATAAAAAAGGCAAAGGGGGGGAAAGTGAAGCGTTTAGTGCAGAGCACATCTCTCCCCCTCGGGACGCCGGACCGGCGGTCGTCGGCGCCACGACCACCAGCTCTCTCGGTTGGCAGGCTATCCGAAGCCGGCCTGGATGGCGCCAGTTAGAGTGAGCTATCCTACGGAATAGCTCGCTGGGCCAGAACCAGCGTGGGTTGAGGATGGCCGGCCTTCCATCACCCGAATGCTCTTGCGTAAAATGTGTGCCGAGCAGCTTGCACGTCGTCTTCTTAGGCCCCCCTCGCCGGTCCCCAGACCGACATGTGAGGGGGACCCGAAACACTTAGAGGGTAAGGGCTTGGGCGAGATCCGCCTCCCTGGCCCCTGTTTGACGGCGGCGGGATTGTGCGTCTCTCATGCGCCCCGCTGCCTCCTTCTGCAAGATGGTGCACTCGCAGAAGTCGAGCATCGCCTTCCACGACTCGTCGTCGCCGAGAATCGATGCCACATCACTCGGCAACGACAAGTCGTTTCCTATTTTTGCGACGAGGACACGGCGCCACCCCTCAACGGTACCCCCACCCATGCGGAGCAGGCGACGAGCATATGCTCTTTCATGCCCAAGTCGCAACCACAACGGTGGCACTCTGCCGTCGGGTCAGCTGTGATCTGGTGCAGGAACTCACCGAAACAACTATGCCCAGTGAGCACCTGCGTGAGCCGGAAAGTGAGGCGTTCTCTGTCACGATTTACCCAATCCACAAGAATCGGGCGAATCGCCTCGACGGTCCTACGACCAGCTGAAGGATCAGCCAGCCGTCTGGACCATGACTCCAGCACGGATCGCCGAGATTGGGCCTCCGCGCTCTGACCATACTGGGGTTGGGACGCGCCACGCCACGGGCACGAAGGTCAGTCCGCCACTGAAGTCAGCGGCGAACGCCTCCGCTTCCAGAACCCAAGGCGGCGTACACACGCTGCCTCAAAGCAGATGGTACGATAACCACGGATGACCCTGACCGCGATGGTGCGTTGCGGCCGTTGCAACAGCTTCGCCACCCCCACGGCCAGGGACTGCACCGACCCCTGTGGAACACTGCGCACGATCGGGAACCGGTGCAGGATCTCACCGTGTCCGGTACGCGTGACCGATCTGTCCTCCAAGTAGGAACCCACCAGCCTGCGAAGGTAGGGGGGCACTCCGTGTCGTTCCAACGCCCCCCCCCTATCACGGACCAGGGCAGGGTGTTAAACGCATTAGTGATATCGAGGGATACCCCTAAGCCACCCCACCCCTGGAGACGGCCTCCTCCGAGAGGGCCCGCACGCAAAGGATCGCGTCTACCGTTGAGCGGCCCTCTTGGAAGCCATACTGCTCCGCCGACAGATCGGGTCCCACCCTGGCCAGATGCTGGATGATGCAGGCCGCCAGAATGAGTTCCAGCAGCTTGCCCACCTCATCCAGCAACACGATGGGACGGTACCCGGCGGCGGTATCCACCGGGCGCTCCTCCTTTTACAACAGCACGAGTCCGCCCGTCCTCCACGATGAAGGCAACCGTCCCGACTCGAGGCAGGAGCTATAAAGCCTTAAGAGTCGGTCCCCTAGGGCGCCAAGAGCCAAGGCCCAAGCCCGGCCATGAAAGTCGTCCGGGCTGGATGCAGTGTCCTTTGCGCACATTTTGCGCACGGCCCCACGGAGCTCCGCCCCCGTTATACGGGATACCTCATCCCTAGAATTATCGAGAATATTCCACACATCTCTAGTAGTAGTTGCCGCTATCTGACAATAGATGGCATTGTACTCTTCGAACGTTCTAGGTCCTTCGATATTCGTTCAACAAATTCGGCGATAGATGACATTACTCTTACCGGCGTAACAATAATATATTTCATTATTCTTAAATTTTCTAATTTTCCGCGCAATTTTCTTTTTTTTTTCATTTCCTAAGAACCTTCCTAAGAACGTTCTTAAGAACCTGATAATAACAAGCACAACAAAATAAAATTAACGAAATCAGTCCAGCCGTTTACGCGTAATGTCGTGACCAAGGGAAATACGGAATCATTTTATATATAGCACTATTCGTAGAAGGACGCAAGTGGATAACTCGAACTTTACAGGAGCGTAAAAAAATAGTTTTGTTAAGAAATGTGTCGAGTCTGTGCTTATATAGAGCGTGTGTGGTATTATGCAGGGTGATAACTATTAATAAGACACGACAGTTTGCAACCTGTGTATTGTGCGACGACTCGACACAGACTGTCTTAGCTAAGCCCGCTACATCATTCCCCCCTTAAAATAAGACATAAAATAAAAAAATATAAAAAAAAAATAAGAGTAAGATGTAAAAAAGTATATAAGACAATGTAAAAATCTTAACTTAGTAACATTATTCATTGATTAACAAATAAAAAATACAAAATAAAAGTAATCCTATTTATAAACATTTTTAAACTTGTAGTCATTTGTAGCACAATTTCACATAATTTCCAACTTAGTGAATTATTACAATTACAATTTCTTGCGAAATACTTTGTACTGTGCAAAAGATATCGTTTTTCTATTCACCTACTTAATCAGCAAAACGTACCGGTGGTTTCACAATACGACCACTACGTGTAACACGGTAATTAGCTGAGCGATTTTGATCGCTAGTCTCGGAGGTTCTGATAGGTTCCTTGTTGTGGTCGCTTATTTCAGGTCTAACCGTTGATAAGTTATTTTTAATAACCAAATTATTTTCTGCCTCTGCCGTATACATATAAGCGGGTTTCAACCTGTCTACTGATATATACGCATCTCGGTTAGGAAATTGCACTAAAAATACTTTCTCTGTTCTATTTAGGACTTTATAAGGTCCTTCATAGGGAGGTTCTAACGATTTTTTAACTATATCTGAACGAACAAAAACATGAGTACAGTTATTCAAATCGCTATGTACAAAAACTGTATGAACATCCTTACGCGGTTTAGGTTTTAAATTATATATCATAGCGCGCAAATGCTTTACGTATTGACAATGTTCTAATATAGGTATAATACTATCATTATAAAAATCTCCCGGTAAACGCAATGTTTGCCCGTAGGTCATTTCGGCGGCACTGATTGTCTAAGCTAAGCTAAGCCCGCTACAAATGTTAAATCATACATGAAAATGTTCTTAAGAGACATCATGGATAATAATTTGAAATTAGTCCTTAATCCTTGTTATGATAAATTATCATATAGTATATCAATCAAATAAATATATATTATTATAATATTATAAGTAAAGTAACCACTTTGTTGCTACGGTGTTCGGATTCGTAATTTTACTTACGTATTTCTTGCCAACACAATTTACCTGACATACATCTGTAACATATCTGTAAACTGCGATGCGATGAATTTTT